TTAAATATTAATATTCTTGGCCTCAGACTTTCAAAATTACTGAAAAATGTGTATCTTTATTTTTTCATGCCTTATCATGTAAAGGTGGATATAGTCAAGAAGCTTCTCATACAGGTTTCATCCTCTTAATATTAACATTTTTAGTCTTACACTTCCAAAATTACTAATTTTTTTTATCTTTTTTTATAATAACATGTAAAGGTGGACATGAATATAGTCAAGAAGCTGCTCATACAGGTAAACCATTTAATGGTATTCTTAAGACTTATATTTAAATGCTCAGTTAAAAAGCCTTCATCGCACCAATAATAATGCAATTTTCTGAATAGTAATATAGAATTTGCTGCAGTTAAAAAACTGTTTATAAATTTAATTTTTGATCCATTGATAACCAACTCTCTCCAAATTGATTACTAATCTTTTTTAATTTTTGACGCACTTATTTCTCTTAAACTGCTAACCGACGATAGCTCTAATATTTCACTAACTATTTCTACATTTTCAACTAACCATTTTCTTTTTTTACTAACCGGTTTCATTACCACCCGTAAAAAATGACTGTGGTTTGAAGATTGAACTGTAGGTAAACGGTAAACCCAGTAGAATGACATTGACTATTTGTTTTTGTCTGTTTCTTAAAAATTCATTCGCATTGTACGAAAAAATGTGTTTTTCTATTAAATTCTTTTCAAATACACAAATTCCACTTTTTCACGTATGTTTGATAAAGACACATGCGTAACATACAGTCGACGAAAGCTGTTTTTAAGAATTAATTGAGGAAAATTTTGGACAAAATTGTAAATTGAAACGTGTACGTGGTGCTTTCTGCATTATTTCTAAACGGGTGCAATGTCATTGCAGGTGATGACGGACCAGCTATATCCAGAAGCTCAACATCACTTTCGAGATCATTTGCCAGATCAGTTTCGAAGTCGCTTTCCCAATCTTTTAGAAGAGGAAAATCAAAGGCTGAATTCAACGTCGATGACCTCCAATACGATGGAGAGCCCATTACCTTCGCTTGTATAGCCAAAGCTGAGTAAGTACCATAAGTAGATTATTCATGAGCATGCTTTGGTTAATATTTTCATTTTCTCACATTTTTATGCAGTCGTCGTGAATTTTATGTGGCTCATGTTAATGACACTATCCCAGATTATTTGGTAAAAAGGCTAAGCAATAACAGAGGTCTGTCATTGTTTTTCCTTGGGGCTGCGAATGAAATTAATTCAGCATCTGGTAAATAAAAATATATTTTTTTCTGATCTAGATTTTCTATTTTCCATTAAAAAAAATCTTATTTTTCTCAATTAGGACTTTTGTTTAAGTTTGCCAGAGGTACTTTTTTCTTTTTCTTACTTTTGAACTTTTTCACTCATAGAAAGACTGCTTGTTTTCACTTGAACAAAATTCTATTATTTTCTCCATAGAATGGTTTGTTACATCTGGAAACAATATTTGTTTCGTATCGTATTGCTATTTAGATAAACCAAGAACTGGATGTCAAGCGATTGGTTATTTGGATAAATTGGTGGCAACAAATCGGCTTGAATATGTGGCGAAAATGGCGCGTGATTTGGTGTTGAATGTACGATATCAATCTTACTTTACAGCCGGAAATTATATTCTCCATATGTCACGGGTGGATGTGACTGGTTTCAGTTTTGGTGCGCATATCGCTGGCAGAACTGCCGAATATTTGCTTAAAAAAACAAGCGGAAAAGTTAGAATGTTACTAGGTATTTATTATTTTGCACAGTTTGTTTGCATTGGATTACGGAATTAAACAAGAGTTCTATTATAAATTAAAAACTTTAGCATTGGATCCATCCAGAACCCCTCCGGTTCTGGCTAAAACTCCCAAAGACACAATTAAACCAGATTTAGCCGAATATGTTCAAGTGATTCATACCTCGAGTGTTCAGGGAATGACTAAAACTAGACTTGGACACGTTGATATCTACGCTAGATTAAATGGTGGCCGAATCCTGAGTAATAATCATGGATTAGCATTTTTCTTGCATGTTGCAACAGCTACCAAACGATTTTATATAGTGGCCGATGAAGGTTCGAAAGGAAAAGGCAAATTGGTACAAATTCAAGGTGATATTCTGCCTCAGCCAAAGTCAAATGAATGTCAATTGGGTATATATGCAGTTCTCAATGAAAATCATATCGGACAAAAGTTTGGCTTTTCTTTAACAAAAAGAGAAGAGCTTTTCTTTAGCGCACTTGGACAATATGCTGATCCAAGCGTTTTCTCTGATTAGGTTTATTAAATAATTTTTTGAATTTTAATAAATCGATGTATATAAAATCAATTCATATGAATGAAAATGGTATGACTTTTTTTTCAAGCCGACTGGTTTTATCAGAAATATACCACCATATGTAGATGGCGGTCACAAAGTCTTCGTAATATACAAGCGCATCGCCGTTGTTGTCGCCTGCTATATTTGTGTATGTCGTTTGCGTACCACAAATGGAAAATATGAGAGCGCGACGCAAAAAAAGAGAAAAGAAAACATCGAATTCAATTTTTGTTATTCTTGTGATGTTACTTCAACTGATTCTTTTCTGATTCGTTTTTTATTATTTTTTTATTACTATTATTTGCATTCACTGCCGTCCACTTCAGTATATTTCGAAATTTTTGAACGCGCGCGCTAGATAGCTAGTTCAAGTTATCTCCAATTTTCCATACAAATTACAATGAATAAAATCTCATTCAATAAAAGATGAAACAGAAGACAGAGAGAAAGGGAGAGAGAGAGAAAAGTGCTGAGATTAAGTATAAGCTCTTGTAAATCGAACGTTCTTGCATCTTCGTTTGATACATCTCGATTCGTTTGCGCTCGGGTCGAATAAATTAATTGAACATAAACGCATCAGTAACAACTTGCTTGATTTATGAAATGTAAACGATATTTT